TCAAAAAAATGTTTAATTTATCATTTTAAAAAATTGTTTCTCAAAACAAAAAACTAAAAAACATTTGACTTCAAATTTTCAGAAACGGTTATATGATATTTTATTCAATGAATTTAATTATACACTAAAATAAAATAATTTATTATCAAGTAATATATACATTTTAAAGTTGATGAATCTTATAATAAATTGTTTTGCTACAAAATTAAAATACAAACAAATAATAAATTGACTTGGCAAGAAATAGGAAATAAAAAAATGATGTTAATTGAAATAGTATGATAAAATTACATGCCACGCCATTACCTTTGGGAGTGTTGTCGTTGTTGTATCGATCTCTAGCTTTTAATCTATGATCTAAAATTGGGTTCTGAAATTTTGAATTCGATTGTATTTGCAATTTTGGAGCTTTACATTGGCGATGGTGAAAAATCGATGGAAGTTAGAGGTGGTGGTGAAGATGCTTGGTGGCTTGAAAGGGGAGGGAAAGGGAGGGGATGGATGGGTTGGGGTTGCAGTCGCGACAGCGAACACTGGGTTGGAGAAGGTGAAATTTTCTTTTCTTTTCTATGTTTTATTTTATTTTAGGTGTTTGATTTTTCATTCGAAAGAGGATTTGATTACTTTTATTTCCTACGTTTTGAGTACTTTCAATGATAATGTCAAAAATATATTTTGAATTTTATATCATAAATTTAGCCTTTTGTTCAAAAATACATTATTAAATATCAAATCAAACAAGTTCTAGATGTTTTACCAAACTAAAAATAGCTCGAAAATAACAAATCAACCGTGCCTCTAAATTTAATAGTTGAACTTTGTAATATATATAATATTGGTTGAAGATTGAATTGAGACAAATACATTAGTATTGTAATAATTTATGTTTAGAAGATTTCAACCGAAGTGTTATGCTGAGATTTTAAATCAATATTTTGTTTTTTACTTGAAAGCAAGTTCAGTTAAAAGAAATGAGCATTAATAGTTTTATTGGATAATGTTTTCAGAAGATGGATGAATTACTTCTCTTTGTTGGCTGTTTTGTGATGAACTATGTCTATAATTCTTATCATGTTTTGCCATAGTAAGCTTAAGAAACTATGTATTACTTCTCAAATAAAGAAAAAAAAAACTATTTATTATTGTGATGCACTTATCTATTAAATTTAGGATTTTTTTTCTTTTCACAATTTATGTTTGTGATTAAAGCAAGGCCTATTAGGTATATGGAAATTTTGCAAAGAGGTTACTATGAAAAATGGTCAAAAAAATTGTCACCTTTTCAAAATGTGCCAAAAAATGTTATTTTTAGGTGCATAAAGTCCAATTTACCCTTGTATTTACCTTTGTGTATGATACCAAGTAAGCGGAGTGACAGCAACCTACAGCAAGTCACGGTATTCTAGCCAAAACACAGCCTCAACAGGCATCAACAAAGGGCCTGACTTTCGGACCTTGCTGTGAATCACTGTAACCCCAGACGGATCATATGGTCAGTAGAGCACTTTCTGATACAGAGGTTCACCATAAAGGTGCAACTGCAGAGCATACTCATGTTTCTACTCAAATCTTACTCCATATCATTCAAATCTAGGACTACTTTGTACCTTCTGAAACCAAGTAAGAACTGGAAGAATTTAGAAGAACATGATGAATATAGAAACACACTAGTTTATTGATAACTCGGGATAGTTCAAGGATGGATTACAATGAGGAGGAGTCCTCCTTATATAGAGGAGAGAAAATATTAAAATATTCATGCGGGACCCACATACTTTACACATATCCCTTTACTACAAACCTTATCTAAAACATTATTACAAAAGGACAAAACTACTTTAATAAAGTAGTTTTAATAAAGTAACTTTAATAAAGTAACTTTTAAAAAGTAGCTTTATTAAAGTGATGCTGATGTCTTTGTCAGAAGATTATCGCCTTTGTTATGGTGTGTCCAAATTCATGTAATCTTCTGGTTGCGACGGTAAACTGTATTGATTCAACCAAAGGGTATGAATGTCTTTTTCACTTGGCCATGGATCTTGTGAATCTTGAAAAAGACTGTCGTCTGGTTCATCCATTTGGCTTGATCCTGCATCTTGTGATTTTTCTTTTCTAGAGTCTGCATTTGCTGTAGGATTCCATCAAGTGTCTGCTCGTAGTTCTTTTTCAATTCTTTTAATCTCCTTTTCAAGAAATTCTTTTTCCTTTTTTACGCTACGGTCCAAACTTTCCAGAAGTTTATTTGAAATTTCCAGTTGTTTTTCCTTTTGTTGGCGTCCTTGCGGAGTTTTTTCTGAAAACTTTAACGTTTCACCAAGGCTTTGTGTCGGCCTTCCCTGATATAATTGTCCCCATTGCCAGTCAAATGCATAGTCATAGTCTGAGTCATATGTAGCAGGGAATTTCTGAAAATGTGTATCCTGATAGACTTGAATATCCTGTTGAATTTTCTGAGTGTACTCCACTGGTAAAGCTTCACATGGTGCATCATCCTCATAAGCTGGCCAAATCTGCGGAGGAATCGTTTGATTGATTTCCACCATGCGTCTTTGAAATTCTCGGAATTCTTTTGGATAATGCTCACAATTTTGATGCATGTTGAATGGCTGGACTGCATATTCCTTGACATGAGAGAAATGAGCATATGTGCCTGCCTCAGTGAAATAACCTTGTCTTTGAAAAATTAAGATCACATAAACATTATCTCGAGAAGTGCGAAGATCTTTAAATTTCAAAGAAAAAGCTTTAAACATTTTTATCCAGTGTGAAGTTGGATAAAACCATTCAAAAAACTTTTTTGCAAAATGATTGACTGTTCTGTGCGGAAAATCCAGATTCATTTGGCAAAATGTATCAATTGTATCTGTGACATGGAAAGAAATTCCAATTTGCCATAGTTCCAAAAGATACCAAAGAAAACAAAGAGTTTCTTTTGAAAATCTTAGTGGAGAAAGTTTTGGATCAAAACGAAAGAGTGTAAAAAATGGATAATTTGGATGAAATCCAAGACCACCAAGTGTTTCAATTCCTGTTTTTCTTATCACGATAGATTGATATTTGAGCATGAGATCTTTGAATATGGATTTGAGAGTTTTGGTTCTTATGAGCTCATTGAGTTCAGGAGGGAAGATTTCAGTGTGAGGATAGGGATTAGAAGATTGAGGTTCCATCATGTAGATGATTGGGATAGGAGGAGTGATCAAAGAGATTTTTGGTCTGGAGAGGAGGTCTGGTAGAAGGTTGTGTTTTCCTTTGATATGTTTGACATAAAAGTCAAAGTTTGAGAACCATTCTGCCCATCTGAGAAGTTGAGAGTTTGAAATCTGCTTCCTCTTAAAAGAGAGCATTTTTGGAAAAGCTGTCATGTCCATTTCTACCAAGAATTTATGACCAATAAGATGGAATTGAAACTTTTCAATTCCCCTTTTAACTACAAGAATCTCCTTGAAGGTAGAGTGATAGTGTTTCTACAATGGCACTTCCATTTACATATGGACGAGAAACAATTTGTGAGTTCATGTATAGTTTTAAAATAAATTCGTGAGTTCATGTATGATTAGGTAAAAGGGATTAAGTTCATATAGCTCTCCATTTATCATGTGGATTGTTTTGTTAATTTTGACTAATGGGAACTAATTTATTTATGAATGANGTGGATTGTTTTGTTAATTTTGACTAATGGGAACTAATTTATTTATGAATGAGAAACAAATTCTCGATTTCATGTATGACTTTAATAAAAAATTGAGTTCACATATGATTTTGAAACAATATGTATAATTCATGTACTGATGTACCATTTGCATAATTAACCATTGGATATGTCATTGCAGCCCACTTTATACGAATTGTTTGACAAAAGTTTTGATAAAAGTTTTAACAAATTTGATAAATTTTTATAAAATGTGTGATTAAAAAGTTGGAAATGTAAAAAAATATATAGATAAATTAATTATTGACTTTGATCTCAACTTTTTAAACTTTCCTAAACAACCCTGTGGAACCAAAATAATTTGTCTATTTGCTAGATGGTTGATAATATTATTTTATTTCATTCTATAGAAATTAATATTGGCAGATATTCCCCATCACATGTATTTTGTTTTTGCAGTTAAAACCACTAGCGATGACATATTTTATTGAAAACGTAAAATAAAATAGTAAAATATTAGGAGGAAACATCATTAATTTCTCCTCAAATAATTTTATACGTTATACCTTGTCTACATAGGATAGGATAGGAGTGTGCTACAGTGCTAGTCTCACTTTTCGGTAAAAAGTTATAAAATTATTTATAATTAATAATAACGTACTGTATCAATTTTTATTGGGAAATTATTGAAAGTACCCAAAATTTAGCAATAGCATTTCCAAAATACCACTTTTCACTATTCAACCATATAAACTACCTAAAATACCCCTAAAAA